TTATAATTGATTATTAATTTTATATCTTACAATTGATTATTTACATTACAGAATATTTATGTTATTTACTTTACACAACATTGTTACTCATTGTTCTTTACAGTATGACATAGTGAAATAAATACTAAATAAAAATTATTAAAATGACATGGTTCTTTCCATATTTAGAATGGCAGTCCTAACATCATGCATGAAATATTAACGAAAAAAAAAGGATTAAAGAAAAAATATTCAGATGAGTTGAAGAAATTTGCATTGACTTAAATTCTGATTAACGTTCGCAATTTATATTGTTACACCTAATGTAATCTTTATGATAATTAACGCCTTAATAACCCTGGCCCTCACAACAAACTCACATCGAGACTTAAATATTTAAAAAATTTTTATTCTTCAAAGGCCTATGAGTATGTGAAACAAATCTTTAAAAATCTTTTACCCGAACGTTCCACTATTCGTAAGTGGTATAGTGTTATAAACAGGCGATCTGGATTTACAGACGAGGTATTTCACGCTTTAAAATGTAAAGTCAAACAAAGTAAACTGCCAATACTATGCAATTTAGTAATCGATGAGATTGCAATTCGTAAATCAGTAGATTATGATGAAAGAAGATACTATGGATACGTTAATTTCGGAATAAATGGAGAGATTGATTGTGATGATCCTCCAAAAGCGAGGCACGCATTGATTTTTATGCTTGTAGCGATAAATGGTCACTGGAAAGTGCCCGTTGGATATATTTTTTATAAAATCGTTAAACAGTAAAGAAAGATCTAATTACTAAAATATTTAGAATTGATAAATGATTCGAGTATTATTGTGCGATCGTTGACGTTTGACGGAATTAGCGTGAATTTTAGTATGCGCACTTGTTTAGGAGCTGAAATTAGCAAAACTTTTAAACCTTATTTCATCGATCCGGCAACGTAAAACAAAATTTATTGTTTTTTGATCCCTGCCATATGTTAAAATTGGTAAGGAACACCCTAGAAGACAAATTAATTTTAATATATGATAGGGAAAAAATCTTGTAGGAAGATATAGTTCTTCTTCAGAAATTGCAATAAGAAGAAGGTTTAAGAGCTGCTACTAAGATAACAAAAAAACATCGCTTATAAAACAAACAAAATGAATGTAAAGCTAGCAGCTTTCATTCATTTTGTTTATTTTGATGTTTTTTTGTTATCTTACAAGGGTCACTATTTATATTTCGGGAATAGGAACAAAAACAAATAGTTAAGCTGCGAATATATTTTTATTGTTTTTCAAAGTACTCGCCACGATGATCGATACACTTTTGCATGCGCTTAAACCAATTTTCAAAGCATTTATTCCATTCCGAATGAGGTATCTCCAAAACATGATTTTTGAACGCTTCAATAGCTTCTTCGGGCGATGAAAATCGTTGACCACGCAGTTTATTCTTCACGGATGGGAACAAAAAGAAATCATTGGGTGCCAAATCAGGGCTGTACGGCGGATGACCCATCAATTCGATGTTTTGAGTGCTCAAATAGTCTTGTTTGAGCCGATGTGTGAGAGCTCGCATTGTCATGATGAAGAACAATCCGACGTCTCTTGTTTGTTTTCCTTATTTCACCGAAGATTTCTGGCAAACAGATGGTTGTGTACCACTCAGAATTTACTGTTCTACGATCCTCTAGAGGCACTGTTGCAATATGACCAGTTTTTCCGAAGAAACAGGCCACCATTTTCTTTGAAGTGCTTTGTGCGCGAACAACTTTTGTTGGATTTGGTTCATCTTGGAACACCCATACAGTCGACTGCTGCTTACTTTCGGGCTCATACGATAATATATCCATGATTCGTCACCTGTCACGATTTTATAAACGTCTTTTGAAGCATCGCGATTGTATTTCTTAAGCATTTCTTTGCACTAATCGACACGAGTCTTTTTTTGAGCGATTGTCTAATTATGTGGGATCCAACGCGAACATAACTTTCGCACAGCTAAGCGTTCATATAAAATCGCATATATGCTGGTGGAACTAATGCTTAGGGATGCCTCAATCTCACAATAGGTTACATGACGATCTTGCTTAATCATTTCGTGCACAGCATCGATGTTTTCTGGCACTACAGTCGATTTTGGACGACCTTCGCGAAACTCGTCGGACAGCGAACTACGACCACGATTGAATTCACTATACCAGCGATACACAGTGGTTTTTGATGGAGCTTCATCGCCAAAAGTCAAATTAAGTTGATTGACGCACTCTTGTTGTGATAATCCACGTCGAAAGTCGTAAAAAATCATCGCACAAAAATGTTCACGATTCAGTTCCATTTTTTGCCGAGACAAAACTTTTAACTAAATATAAAATAAACAAATAGCGTCCGTATGACAAAATGTTCTGAGTACGTATATCGTCAAAAATGTCAAACTTTACGATGAAACCGTCAGATGGACTCACATGACATCAGTGTTGCCAATTCCCGAAATATAAATAGTGACCCTCGTAGTAGCAGATCTTAAACCTTCTTCTTATTGCAATTTCTGAAGAAGAACTATATCTTTCTACAAAATTTTTTCTCTATCATATATTAAAATTAATTTGTAGTTGCTAACTCAAACGCTAAATAAAAGCGTCAGTTGTACTTTGCAATTTGTTGAAAAATGTCGTCTAAATTATTTGCAATCCCCAAAAGCGACTGCACAATTTTGTAAAGTATTCAACAATGCATTTGATTTATTAAATGTAAGATCTAAGTTCTCCAAAATTAAAAGGTTTAACGTACCACTTACAGATGACAATTTCAACAAATTAAAAGATAACGCTGATACTCTTGAAAATTAAATTTTGGAGTTAAAAGATAATAACAAAAATATATCTTACTTGGAAACCGGAAAACTGGGTTCCTCGGTTTTATTAGATATTTAAAAAACATGTTTGATTTATTTAAAGAATTAAAAAATGTCGAGCTTCAATATTTATTAACGTTTAAAATTAACCAAGACCATTTGGAAACATTTTTTAGCGCACTTCAAAGCAGAGGCGGATTTAATGATAATCCTACTGCAATGCAATTTCTAACTATAAAAGGCTATTAGTCGAACATGAAATTTTCGCTTCCGAGAAAGGTAATTATTTAATTATTGACATTCTCGATCTACCTTGTGATGAGGAAGAAGAAACTTCTGTTGACTTACTTGATCATGATTATTTATAAAATAATAAAGAAATTTATGATTAGTTTGACCATACTGGCTCTTACTAATAATTCGTCTTTATTAGATATGAAGTACACTACGTTTCGACCTTAAATTTAGATTCTTTTCGAGTGCTTTTCAAGTGCTAACATTATAAAAAATCAATAGTTAGCGACGTAAAACTAAAATTAAATACAAGTCAATTCGTGCAAAAAGAGACAACAATGTACTTACTTAAAACAATTCTAATAAGCCACATTAAGATATAGAGATATAAATTATGATATGTTAAGCGCTGTGAACTTTAATATGTCGCTAAGACATTCTGTTAACTACTGATACAAGACGCTAAATTATTCTAATGACCTTATCATAAACAGAGTTGAGATTGTCTGTGTCAGTTTGAAGATTGATTGTGTTTGTTTGCTTTTTAATATATAACATTTCAGCAATCTCTCTCTTACGTCTATGTTTTTCAGTATGTAAAATACAAGGGTCAAGCCACCGGAAATCATGATTGCATTCTATTCTATGTTTGCTAACAACCGACAGATTTGATTCATGCTTTTTAATAATGTTCTGGTGTTCCTTTATGCTAGTATTTAGATGTCTCTTTGTTTGTCCTATGTAAGAAACATTGCAATCAATGCATTCCAATCTATAAACGACATTTGTTTTATTTAATTTAGGAGTGGTATCCTTACCTCTTTTGATAAGGCTACTTAGTTTTTTCTGTAATTTATATACTACTTGACAAACTTGATTTTGACGTAACTAGCAATTTTATTTAATTCTTTCACGACGTTTCGACCATTTGGTTGTGGTCTTTATCAAGTGAAAATTCTATAACATAATATTACACAATCGTTTTTACCAATGTTGAAATATACAAGAAACTATCTAAATGTTGAGTTAATAATATATATATAAATTTTATAAACATACCCATTAATTAAACTGAGATTAACGCAACATCACACCGGTCTTATTTAAAATTAATAGTTGTTGAGAATGAGAGTAGAGAAAGTGAGAGAGAGAGTGTGTGCGTGTGTGCATGTATGCATGCAGTGTGGCAAATTGATATTTTTGCAATATCAAATTTGGCGCGTCAATTCGCGCTAATTGCCAAGCGCAAATCACGCTGCGCGCGTTTCGCAAAACGCCTTCGGCTGTCGCCAGCCCGTTTACGCGGGCTGGCCAAATAAAAACAGCAAAGTCAAAACAGTTTTGTCCTCCGACACTCGAGAAGATTCCACATCATTACATTGCAAAATTACAAGTTCGGTAATTTTGCATTAGAATCTTCTCGAAGGTCGGCAGGATAAAACTGTCTTTTTTTCTTTTCTTGTCGTTGTGCTGTGCTCCGTTGTCAGTACAATTTTTCACTCACTCTCCGGTTCGCACTCCGCATTGCCGCGAATTCGCACATTTTTTGGTCCTTTGAGCCGGATCTTTTCTCTGCGTCTTCGTCGCGTCCGGCATCTTCTGTGCTTCGCAGTCAAAGTGTGTGCGCGACCGGAGTGTCCTGTGACCTGTGACAGACAAAATGGGCATGGATAAATTGATGGACGCCCAGCACAAATTTCATGTGCGTATATTACGTAGTGTCGACAATCTACGAAAAATTGGGGCGGCCAAGCTAAACGTGGACACCATCCAAGCTGCGATCCGCCTCCTGGACGACAAATAGGCCAGATTTCAGGAGCTGCACGAGGAGCTCCGCAATAAGTACTGGAAAGAAATCAAGGACGATGAGTACTCCTTAGACGACCTCCCAAGCAAGGTCGAAACGGCGTATTACTCACAACGCTCCAAACTCGCCGAGATGGAGGAAAGGCTTTCCAAGCCGTCGAAAGCTGACATCTCCAAGAGGGCTCGAGGAAGCGCGCCGTCCCGCAAAACCTTGCCACGCATCAATCTGCCTCAATTCAGCGGCAAGTTCGAGGATTGGCCAAGCTTCCGGGACCTGTTCTGCTCCATCATCCTCGGGGATCCATCCTTGACTAAGATCGAGCAGCTGCACTATCTCAGGACGAGTGTCAAGGGCGACGCGGAGCAGCTCATCCGGAACCTACCTTCCACGAAAGACAACCTGGAACAGGCGTGGGACATGCTGACGACTTACTTTGAGAACAAGCGCCTCCTCGTGCGTTCCTACCTGACGGCCTTCACCTCGCTGCCGCGGATGAAGACTCCCTTGGCCGACGGAATCCGTCGGATCTTTCACGGTGTACTCACCACAGTCGGCGCGCTGAAGGGCATTGGACGTCCGATAAGCGACTGCACCGATCTCTTTGTGCACCTGGTCGTCGAGCTGTTGGACGCCGAAACTCGACGCGAGTGGGAGAGTTCGCTCGGCAAGTCTGCTGAGCCGCCGTCGTACGACATGCTCCGGGAGTTTCTGCAGGAACAGCTGATGACCTTGGAGGTCCTCCAGTCCACCAGGCCCGGACCATCAAGCAAGCCCTTGGAGAAGTCCAACCGCGCCGCTCGCACGAGCCACGTGGGGAGCAAGGGATCAGACCCGAGCCGCAGCTGTCCGCTCTGCAAAAAGGATCACTTCATCGCGTACTGTGAGCTGTACAAGAGAAAGACAGTGGCTGAAAAAAAGAAGGCAATCAATGCTCACCAACGGTGCTGGAACTGCCTGGGTCGGCATCTCCTTGCTGATTGCACGTCCTCCAAGGTGTGCATGAAGTGCTCTGGCAAGCACCATTCGTCTCTTCACGACGCCTTCACCGCTGTGGCTCTGCCTGCTGCCGGACCATCTTTCGCGGTGACGACCCACGTCGCCAGGCGACCGCCGGTGGAATGTCGATCAGCACTTCTGGCAATCGCGTGCGTGCTGGTGGCTGATCGCGCGGGCACTCGCCACGACGTCCGCGTCCTGATTGACCCGGGTTCGGAGACATTACTGATCGCGGAATCTCTGGCACAACGCCTTCGCCTGCCGCGGACTTCTTCCTCAGTGGCCATCTTCGGAGTAGATGGCATCCAGTCAGGCGTCTCTCGAGGGCAAACAGCGGTCACCATCTTCTCGCGCGACGGGCACTTCGCGCTCGCCGCATCGCCACTCGTGCTGCCGCGCCTAACCGTGTACGGTGGCATTCCTGAGGGAGAAGCTCGATCATGGCCGCACCTTGATGACCTCGACCTCGCTGACCCTGAATTCCACCGCCAGGATCCCGTGGAATTGCTGCTCGGTGCGGACGTCTACCTGGATCTTGCCATACCGGAGGGTCTTCGTAGAGGAGGACCACAGGAACCAGGAGCGCTGCTGACGCGCTTCGGATGGATGCTGTTGGGCGCCGTCGGGGCCTGCCACATCACAAACCCTGTGTCGTCGTTGCAATGCATCACAGTGGAGGACCTTGCCGAGCTGGTGCGTCGTTTTTGGGAAACGGAGGAGCCCCCCCGTGCCGTCCTTCCGCTGACCGCTGACGAGCAGGAGTGCGAGAACTACTTCTTGCGCACTCATCGACGACTAGCAGACGGCCGCTATCAGGTGCGGCTCCCGCTGCGATCGAGGCTGCCGGACCTAAGCTCCACCCGTCGCACCGCGTCACGTCTCCTCGACGTCATGAGGCGTCGCTTTGACCGCGACGACAACTTCGGGGTGCTGTATCGCGACTTCATGCGCGAGTACATCACCTTTGGGCACATGACGCTCGCTGCCTCCACTGTGGCTTCACCAGGTGACCGGATCAACTTCTTGCCGCATCATGGGGTGCTGCGGACTTTGACTGCCGGCTCCAAGATCCGCGTCGTCTTCAACGGATCAGCTCGCACGGGCGCCGGGGCGTCTCTCAACGGTGTGCTGCACGCTGGGCCTAACTTGCTGTTGTCTCTCGCTGATGTCCTGACTCGATGGCGGCGGCACCGGTACGTCTTCATCGCCGATGTCCAGATGGTGTACCGGCAAATCCAACTTCATCCGGACGATCGAGACTTGCAGCGGATCCTATGGGCAGAGGACAACGAGGTGAGAGAGTACCGGCTGAATACTGTCACGTATGGCTTGGCGAGCGCACTATACCTCGCCATACGAGTGCTACGGCAGCTTGCGTCGGACGAAGCCAACCGCTTTCCGCTCGGTGTCGATGTACTGCAGCACGACGTGTATGTGGACGACATACTTACCGGAGCTGCTGACTTGGACGTTGCTCGCTGCCTCCTGGGACAGGTGACCTCGCTCTGCATGGCGGGCGGCTTTCCGTTGAAGAAGTGGGCCTCCAACGACAACCGCCTCCTGGAGATCATCCCGGTCGAGCATCAGCTAGGCACGACGACCGGCGCGAGGCTACCTGCAGACGAGCACTCGGTGCTGGGTCTCCGCTGGAATCGCGAGGAGGACACCTTCTCGCTGTCTGTCCAACTGACTCCATCGGCCCCACCTACCAAGCGGACCGTGCTGGCGCAGACCGCTCGCCTGTTCGACCCGCTGAGCTGGCTAGCATCGATCCTCGTGCGTACAAAGTTGCTGATCCAGTCGGCGTGGCTGCAGCAGCTCGAGTGGGACGCACCGCTCTTACGCGAAGACACCGCCGCATGGACAGCCCTCGAGGAGGAATTGCCGTCACTGAAGGAGATCCGACTGCCACGTTGGCTACATAGCAACACTCCACACAGCTCCGTGGCGCTCCACGGCTTCTCGGATGCTTCCGAACGAGCTTATGCTGCTGTGGTCTACAGCAGAGTGGAGGATGGCGGACTGCCCCGCATCAACCTGGTGGTCGCCAAGAGAAGGGTGGCCCCGTTGAAACGTGTGTCGCTGCCGCGACTAGAACTCTGCGGAGCGGCTCTGCTGTCAAAACTAGCAAAGCATGTGCGGCTCTCCTTGGGTCTGGAAAGGTCGGCCGTCACTCTCTGGACGGATTCCACGGTGACGCTTGGCTAGATACGTGGACATCCTGCAAAGTGGAATACGTACGTAGCCAACCGCGTCGCTGAAAATCACCGCGACAACCAAGATGCAAGATGGCGGCACGTACCTGGCAAGGAGAATCCTGCAGACTGTGCCTCCCGAGAGGTGTCGCCGAAGAAGCTCCTGGAGCATCCTCTGTGGTTGCGAGGGCCGGAATATCTCCGCCATCACGCGGACTTCTGGCCGAAGGACGTCGGACCCTTGGGGACGGCCGACTTACCGGAGCAGCGACCGTTCCGATGCCATGTAGCCGCCGAGGAGCTAAGGAGCTCTGCCGCTTCTCCTGCCTTCGTCGCCTACTTCGCGTGTCCGCCTGGCGCTGGAGGGCACGAGGACGTCATTCAGCAGACAGCAAAGCTGTGTCGACCTCCTTGGAACCTGAGGAGCTGGAGGCCGCTTTGTCAAGATGGATCCGGGTAGCTCAGAAGTCGAGCTACCAGGCCGAGCTGCAGGACGTCCGTGCTGGAAGGACGCTGCCTGCCCGGAGCTCACTCCGCAAGCTGGTTCCCATGTTGGACGACGAGGGCACCCTGAGGGTCAGCGGGCGTCTGAAACACGCAATTTTGGATGCCGATCAACGTCATCCTGTCATCCTACCGCCGCAGTCTCATCTGACTCACCTGGTGATTGGCGCCGCCCACAAGCGAATACTTCACGGCGGAGTCCAGGCCACCTTGGCGCACATCAGGCAGCGCTTCTGGATTCCGCGAGAACGTCAACTGGTTCGCAGCCACATCCACAGCTGCCCCCCCCCCATGCGTCCAATGGCGGGCGGCCACTTTACGGCCGAAGATGGGCGACCTGCCAAGAGCGCGCGTCACTCTGAGCCGCCCATTCCAGCACACCGGCGTGGACCTTGCCGGTCCCGTGTGGCTTCGAACGACGAGAGGCCGAGGACACAAGGCCTACAAGAACTTTTTGATGGTGTTCGTTTGTTTCAGCTCCCGCGCCGTACATCTTGAAGCCGTCAGCGACTACACCGCCGAGGCCTTCCTAGTGGTCTTTCGTCGGTTCGTGTCCCGACGAGAGTTGTGCACAGTCGTGTACAGCGACTGCGGCACTAACTTTGTGGGCGCTGACCGACAGCTCAAGGACCTCTTCAAAGCTGCTGGCCGTGAGATTCAGACGATTGTTGGGCACCTGGCAGACCGAGAAATACGGTGGAGCTTCAATCCACCGGCAGCTCCACACTTTGGCGGCCTGTGGGAAGCGGCGGCCAAGGCTGTCAAACACCACCTGAAACGCACCATCGGCGAGGCCAGACTGACCTTTGAGGAACTGTCGACGTTCCTTACAGAGGTTGAGGCCTGTTTCAATTCAAGGCCGCTCGAGGTTTTAACGGACGACCCTGACGACCTCGGTGCCCTGACGCCTGGGCATTTCCTGGTGGAAAGCCCTCTTCTTGTCATCCCAGAGCCGTCACTCTTGGATGCGTCAGCCAACCGGCTGAATCGGTGGCGGCTCCTGCAGCAGATGCGGGATCACCTGTAGCAGCGGTAGACCCGCGAGTATTTGCAGCATCTCAGCCCGCGGCCTAAATGGTGGACCACTCGTGGAGCCATTCTCGAGGGCCAGTTGTGTCTAGTCAAGGGCGAGAATACCCCGCCGTGCCGGTGGCCGCTTGCTCGGGTCACGCGCGTGCACCCCGGCAAGGACGGGCAGATACGCGTGGTGGACGTCCGCACGTCCGTTGGCGAGTTGACCCGGCCAGTGGTTAAAATCGTACCACTGCCGACGGCGGCCGCCACGGACCCGGGCCACCGGCGTAAACTTCGTGCCGCAAGTTCCGTCCCGCGTGTAAATATACTGTAAAAGAAATAAAAAAAAAAAAACGTGTAATTATTCTTGTTCGTCGTTCAAAAACTGTAAATAATAAGTCGTATACTCACTCTCGTTTCGCGCATCGTATTCTCCGCTGCACCTCAATGCTCTCTTCGAGATAGCACCGCGAATCACTAAAATCGTTCGTCGCTCGTCGCGACGAGGCGGGCGGAATGTTAAGATTGAGAGTAAAGAAAATGAGAGAGAGAGAGAGAGAAAGATAGAGAGAGTGTGTGTGTGCATGTATGCATGCAGTGTGGCAAATTGATATTTTTGCAATATCAAATTCGGCGTGTCAATTCGCGCTAATCGCCAAGCGCAAATCACGCTGCGCGCGTTTCGCAAAACGCCTTCGGCTGTCGCCAGCCCGTTTACGCGGGCTGGCCAAACAAAAACAGCAGAGTCAAAACAGTTTTGTCCTCCGACGCTCGAGAAGATTCCACATCATTACATTGCAAAATTACAAGTTCGGTAATTTTGCATTAGAATCTTCTCGAAGGTCGGCAGGATAAAACTGTTTTCCCGCACGTCCTTTTCGCATTCGTCTTGTCGCCGCTCGCACGCATAGACCGAGAGTTTTTGTTTCGCTTTTTTCACAAAAGTTCTGTAGTATCGCACTTCTCGCGCATACGTAATTCGCTTGTCGATTGCACTTTTTGCAATCCTTGCAGTTTATCGCGCCACTAGTGCGCGATTCGTACTTTCTTGTAAATATTGTAAAATACAGTACCGTCTTATTAACTTTGTCTTCTTTTCTTTTCTTGTCGTTGTGCTGTGCTCCGTTGTCAGTACAATTTTTCACTCACTCTCCGGTTCGCACTCCGCGTTGCCGCGAATTCGCACAATAGTTAAAAGTTAAAAGAGGAACACGTCTCATCGCTATGATGTTTCGTCAACGACTAACTTTGAAACGCGACACTAAACAATCTTTATTATTTTGTCGTAAACATTTGTCAAATTCTCAGTGTCTTTCTGTAGGTTAACCGTATTATCATGCTTCTTTATGAAGAACATTTCAGTAATCTCTCTCTTTCTTACATGTTTCTCATTATGTAAAATGGTCGGTGATTTCCAATCAAAGTTATGTCCAAAATCACATCTGTGTTTACTCAAAACCGAATGATTAGACTCATGTAATTTAATATTGCTGGCATGTTCCTTCACTCTAGTGCATAAATGTCTCTTAGTTTGTCCAATGTATGAGGCATTACAATTTTCACAATTGATCTTGTATACTACATTCGTTTTTATATCATTAGTTATTAAATCTTTACCTCGTTTTATCAATCTATTCAACTTTTTTGGCAAACCATAAACGACATTTAAGTTAGCATTTTTAAGTGACCTTTTAATACTGTCGCTGACGTCTTTAACGTATGGAAGTGGAATTACATAATTCTTATCTTGAGCCGAATTCACATTACCGTTATTATCCAAATCATTACTCAAATTGTCGTTATTATCCGCATTGTGACGGTTAACATTCCTATTGTTATTTAGTACATTAATTCTTTTATTTACATATTTATTAATAATACGATCCGGAAAGCAATTATTAATTAAAATGTTCTTTACAATCTCAATATTCGTATTATAAAATTGTTTGTTTGACAGTAAAATTGCATGGTCTACCAAATTGTGAATCGTATTAATTTTATATTTAATAGGATGACTTGAAAGAAAATTGATGTATCTACCAGAACATGTAGGTTTCCTAAACCAATTAGTTGTCAATTCAAAAATGCTAACTTAAATGTCGTTTATGGTTTGCCAAAAAGTTGAATAGATTGATAAAACGAGGTAAAGATTTAATAACTAATGATATAAAAACAAATGTAGTATACAAGATCAATTGTAAAAATTGTAATGCCTCATACATTGGACAAACTAAGAGACATTTATGCACTAGAGTGAAGGAACATGCCAGCAATATTAAATTACATGAGTCTAATCATTCGGTTTTGAGTAAACACAGATGTGATTTTGGACATAACTTTGATTGGAAATCACCGACCATTTTACATAATGAGAAACATGTAAGAAAAAGAGAGATTGCTAAAATATTCTTCATAAAGAAGCATGATAATACGGTTAACCTACAGAAAGACACTGAGAATTTGACAAATGTTTACGACAAAATAATAAAGATTGTTTAGTGTCGCGTTTCAAAGTTAGTCGTTGACGAAACATCATAGCGATGGGACGTGTTCCTCTTTTAACTTTTAACTATAAATTTTAAATAAGACCGGTGTGATGTTGCGTTAATCTCAGTTTAATTAATGGGTACGTTTATAAAATTTATATTTATATTATTAACTCAACATTTAGATAGTTTCTTGTATGTTTCAACATTGGTAAAAACGATTGTGTAATAATATGTTATAGAATTTTCACTTGATAAGGACCACAACCAAATGGTCGAAACGTCGTGAAAAAATTAAATAAAATTGCTAGTTACGTCGAAATCAAGTTTGCCAAGTTTATTTTCACCACTAGCGTCCAATATTAATTTTGATTGATTATATACTACTCTTAGTCCTTTTTTTCTAAGCGATTTAGAGATGTTGTCGCTGAAATTTTCCATGTATGGTAACACAATGTATGTACGATCATTTAAGTTATTAATATTACTATTTTCCCTGCTATTATTATTGGTGTTCTTATTTTTTTTAAATTGTAGTCTTTTTTGATATATTTATTAATGGTAAGTAATGGAAATTTATTATTAGTTAAAATCTGTTTTACTATATTAATATTATCATTATAAAATTTTTTATTTGACAATAAGATGGCTCTGTCCACTAAATTGTTCATGCAGTTAATTTTATTTTTAAACGGATGGGCTGAAAGGAAGTTAATGTATCTCCCTGAGAAAGTGGGCTTCCTAAATCAATTAGTGATTAACTTTCCTTCACTACACCTAATAATTGTTGTGTCTAAAAAATTGATGGAATTATTACATTATATTTCATAGGTGAATTTTAACCGTTGATGGTAAGCATTAAAAATCGATAACATCTCATCTAATTTATTGCGTGGTATAACAGTAAAAATGTCATCGACATATCTGAAATAAACCGGAACTGCGAACTGCAATGAATTTAAGCAATGAGACTCTAGATCATCTATCACCATATCTGCCAGGATGGGTGACAGAGGGGACCCCGTTGGGCTGCTAAAGACTTGTTTGTAAAATAGACCGTTAAAGCTAAAGATAGTGGAATCCAAGACAACATTAACAGCATGTATAAGTTGCTCAAGATTGAGACTGGTGTTAGGTACGATCGTGTCCCATCTCTTTTTTATAGCTTCGATTACTAAGTCTTTCGGTATGTTAGTATATAATGATGTGATGTCTAACGAGACCAACACTTCCTCACAATTAATGCTAATATTTTTAATTTTTTCCGCAAATGACCAACCGTCTTTAATATGTGATTTTGGTTTATTGATGGATTTATTTAAAATATTATGGATGTATTGTGCTATATTATATACCGGACTGCCCAGCGCGGATACAATAATTCGTAGCGGAAAGCCCGTTTTATGTATCTTTGGAAGTCCGTAACATTGTGGGAGACTCCCATTTGTGCAGTTCAACCATTTAAACATAGATTCATCTATGATTTTTTTATCCCGCCAAACTTTAATAACAGCATTAATGTTATTAGTGATTCTTTTTATGGGATCTCTGTTTAATTTCCTATAGGTGGTGTGGTCTTCCAACATTGCATTCATTTTTGAAATGTAATCTTTTTTATCTAATATCACGATGACTTGGCCCTTGTCCGCTTTCGTTACTAATAAGTTACTGTTCTTTAAAAATTTTTTGCATACTGAGAAGTTTTTTAAAATGTGTTGTTCGCTAAGACGATAATGTTGTTGTTTAGTTAAAAAATTCGATAAATGATTACTAACTATATTTCTTGTTATCTCGATTGATTTGCCCGTTATTTTTCTATTGTTGATACAATTTTCAACATTTTTAATTGTTTCTAATACTACTTGTTGTCGATCATTTTTACTACATTGGTTAATAAGAAATGCAAATCTATTGCCTAGACTCAAAAAATTCATTACAATCTTTGGAATAGAGGTGTCGCTTATATTCAAAACCCATTTTTTGTTATCTATGTTGTTCAGAGGATCAACAGTTACATTGTGTTTACTAACCAAAAAACTGAATTTTTTAATCTCTATGTTCTTTTTCTTTTTATTGAAAGTCATTAAATTGTTTATGTTCATATTGAAAAATTTATTTAGAAGGTTGTGAGGTAAACAGTCTGCGAGTTTCTCTTCAATTTCTTTTGTATTACAATGCAAATGTTTAATTCTGATGTTTAAATCTTTAATTTCTAAACTCAGAATTTTAAATTGATAACGCATTTAATAATTCTCAAAAGAGGAGAGAAAATCGCGAATCTCTCGCTGATGCGAGAAATTCTCAATGATTTTCAAGAAAGGAGAGAAAATCACGAATTTCCTGTTGATGCGAGAAATCCTCAATTATTTTCAAGAAAGGTGAGAGGGAGACACAGATGTTGGCGTTATATAAAAAAAAAGAAAACACATTCGGGTGCCTAAATCCAAGAATTATTTGGGGAGTAAGAAGTAGTTATTCTGAGGCAACTTACTACTGTTGAGCTCGTTGTTTACTGGTAGCTCTGGAT